CTGCGAAGTCCTTTGCGGCATTCCAAGCCGCTGCCATGAACAGCAGCTCGACCTCCGCCCCCGCCGCCTCTGGTGGAGCTCCCAGTACGACCCCCAGTGCCTCTGGCTCAGGCACTGCTCCTCCTGCTACCACGTCTAACGCTGCTGGTGTCATTAAGGCAGGCAGTGCTGCAGGCCTGCTCCTCACGGGTGCCGGTCTCGTTGCAGGCTTGGTCCTATAACGGCTTAATCCGTTGATGGAGATGAGTTGAGGTGGATACGCGATTATTTTGTTTGAAGATTTTTGTTATGGGCTTTTTAACGTAGTGCTGTGCATCCTGCGTCTTTTTGTGCTTCTTTTGCTGTTTGTCGACTTTTGAATCGCATGTATGGTTGCTGGAATTCAATTCGATTGACCTGGATAGGATCGAAAGTCGCTGTGGTGAACTTCAAGTGTGAATTGTTTTCTGTCCGTGTTATTGCAGCCGTTACCAAGGAAGCAGATTCTTTCCAGTCAACCATCTTTTTAAGATACTGTGAGACCGTAACGCTGTACGGGATGCGAAGAACACACGACTTCGCGTGAATGGGGGAATCAGCATACAATTGGTTGTGAAAGATCGTCATGGTCCAAGTTATCCAGAAATCCTAATAATAGTGGTATCAAACGCATTCTAAGGCCCCAGATGCATATCTCCAGTCTGCTGAGGCTGTGGATCTTCTGAAAGAGATGGTAGAAGCGGAGACGCAGCCCTACTACCTGACTGTGCTTCCTCTTTGACGGGTACAGCTAGAGATTCGTCCGCGTCGTCCATCTGCTGCGGCTCCTCGACTAACCCATCGGCAACGACTGCATCGTTCAACGGTGATGAAACCGCAGTCTCACCCTCTGAAGTATGCCCATTCACCGGTGGTGTAGGCGTGCCGTCTGAAAATACAGGCGGTGTTGGGCTGATAGAAGACGGATCGGGGGACGGGCTGAGAACAGGCAGCGCCTTCTCAGAATTGACCGATGGAGAGAACGTGGGCGTCGGCGTAGTCGCAGGAGGGACTTTGAGTGTCTCTGTCCGACTGAATATAGTGCTGAAACGTGAGTGGGGGGCGGGAGCGGCGTTGGGCGCTGGCGCTGGCGGTGGGGATTTATGTTCGATGCGTTTCTCTTGAACTACAATTGTTAACATTGCGGTAGGGGCCCGCACATTCTTGAGGGCGGATAGCTTTTCGTGTAGGAATTTTGCATCGGCGAGTAACCTGTAGGAAAGATGTAGATTGATACCTTCAGTAGTGAAGCAATTCACGTACCTCTCTTTTGACTCTTGAGACGGCAGGTCTATGCCCGCATATTCCTCAGATAGGCGGTGGTTAATGGCAGCGAAGACTTGAGTCATCACGTACTGCCAAAAAGATAAGCTAAGTCCACATTAATCATAATTCCGATGGCACATACCTCGACGATTGAAAGCGAAAGATATCTGGACAGGACTTTATGTAACGTGACAGTTTCCTTTACAAGGAGTTCCATGTAGTCGTTGACACCGCCACCTTGCTTCGCTATATCCCACCTAACGGACTGCTCACCAGAATCAATTTTACCGAACGGACGAGGTGGATTAATCTAGTCACCTGAAGTGTACGTATGTGAGCGCTCAGACGGTCGCCCATGATTGCAATAAGCTTCGCATGAATCTCGTTCTGATGTTCCTGATAGTCCTGCGATTTCGTACATAATGATCATCTTGGGCAACGATCGGCGGTTGGGAGCAAGACGCACCCTCTTGAGTTTGTCAAACTCAACAAGCATCACAGCTTGCTTCTGGCTCAAGTGTCGGCGGAAAGTCTCACGGACGTAAGGTACCAACGAGATCATGATAGACAACGATTGAGATGCTAGGGCTACGACTACAGTCAGCGTCTTACATAGTGCAAATCATTACTATGATACTCACCCAAATGCTTTGCAGTAATGTTCTTCAGTCCAGCTGAGCGCATAGCTCCAGCACCAAGTACAACCTGACATGTCCTAGAATTGAATGCTTTCAATAACTCAATGATGCGACTCATAGTATCCGTCACAAGCGATGGCAAGTTGACGATAACCCTCATATAGTCTGAGAGTAACGCCAGGACCTCCAATGTTGCGGAAACCGCGAAGAAGTTCCTTTCTTCAATTTTGAGATGCTTCCCTGGTGTATGAGAACCGCGACGTTTGGAATCAGCTTGGAGATGCTTTGGAGTGTTTGGCGGCATGAGCGGCGAGGGGACGGGTGAAGATGGTTGTATGGGTGCCCCATTAACTTGTAATGCTGGAGAGTTTGGAAGTAAGGGAGATGGCGGAGGTAGTGGTGAAGTGGGGTCCGATGAAGCGCTCAACTTGAACTCAGGTGGATCATGGAAGGAAGCGTCGACAAGTAGATTGACGAGATGCTGGATAGCCGGAGGAACTTCCACGGGATTCCATTGTTCGTCTTCTACGAGTTTTGCAGATTGCGAGAGGCGTGCTTGGTGGAACGTTTGCAGGAATGTTTTCGACTGTAAACGGCTTGAGTACAATGACGCGAAAGATGCTACTATGACGGACCTGACCGACTACCACCCCGCGTAAACCTACAATCATGCGTCGACAAATGACCTCAGATTGCACCACAAAGTCCCATGCAGCATTGAACAAGGTCCAGAAGCTATGCAGGTCCAGTGCCGTATGTTGATCTGCTCGTACGGTGATTACTTTAGCAGCTCGTGCATTCGCCAATTCCCCAGCTGAGGACAAGATGTCTGAAAGGTCGTCAAGTAGAGCAGTTACGTCGAACTGCGACTTTGGCTGCCTTACCATTATAGAACGACATTAGCATGGGAGTGAGCTAGTAGATCGTAGGATGGACACACCGAACAGCTTCAAGGACTTCAATAATGATACTATTCTGGGCTTGAAGGCCTTCAATGCAGTTTAGGAAGCTCTGAAACATGATGCGAGCCAGGTCTATAAACGCGGACTGGTCCAAAGAAGCGATTTCTTTTGTGGTGTCAGAACTTTACAACGGAAGCCTAGCGATGAGCGTGTGCAGAGTATCGTATTATATAAGAACTTACGTTTTGATGCTGGCCTGGTCGTTATCATCCAAATCGAACGCGGGTATACGCTGCAATGCACTTTTAGCGTCCGCTGTTGAGATAAATGAGAAGACGCACTCGTTTCAACGTATTCCGCACTTCCAGTATAACTATCTCTCGCCATGCTAATATCGCTTCCCGCATCCCACCCGTCCGGACGAGCGACTGTAACAGAGGTCGTACGCGGTCTTTAAACGACATCTGCACACCACTAGCTGAACCGTGTCCATCCGCGTCAATACGGTCTACAAGGTCCAATCTTAAAATATTGACCAGCTCAGAGGAAAGCGAAGATGCAACTTTGACTATTAGAGCGTGTAGGTGGGATGGCAGAGACGAGAAAGCACGTAATCCAGAAATGGGAATCGAAGAGGTCCGTCTCTTGACGTGCGAGGAGTGTAGTGAGGGTGACTCTGGAGGAGATTCTGGTACAGCTGGTAGGGGAGACCACCGACCATCTTTATTAAGTGCTGCAGGTGCGGTCACATTAGGAGCACTTCGTGGCTCGTGGTCAAATCCAGCGTCCCACAGAGCATCCAACTCGTCCACCACGTCAAGAGCCTCTCCCCATTGTCCAGCTGCGACCAAGCTCTTCGCTACTCCCGTCATCTCAACCACCCCACCGACAACTCTCACGCCCTCCCGCACAGCGCCCAAGTTCCGCAGTTTGCTCTCTAGCCGGACGATTTCCAGACCTTTCTTTGCACCCTTCTCATCCACCTCCTTGAGTAGCTTCCGAAGATTTGAGATCCGGTCTAGACATTGTTCAGATTCTGTTTGGAGGTCTTGTAAATTCGAGAGTGCTGCGAAGAACGAGGTTGAACGTAGAGAAATTTCGCGGACCAGGTGTTGTTCGATGGTATCCGCGTGAGTAGAGAGTCTGTCGAGGATAGGCTGGGCATAAGCAAATGTTGCTGGGTCGTCCAGGATAAACTCGCCCTGATCTCCGTGTTCCGTAACAGCGTTGAATGTCCGCGGGTCTCCCAGGTTGAACTTTGAATCAAAGAACACGTCTGGTACAGAATCAAGAGGTGTCAAGGGTTTCCCGGGAGGGAGTCGTGGTGTCCTTGGGGTAGACGGCAATTGCCCCGAGAAAGTCGAGTCTGACGTCGAAGGCCCACTGATTTGTGCTGCACCTTCTCGTCCTTCTGCTGCATTCTTCTCAAACCGTTCCCATTCGGGAGCGACAGATCGTAGATACGAGTCAAAGTCTTTACGACGTACTCGCGGAAGGTCCGCTGGTGGTACGGTAGGTAAAGATGAGTGTGCTTTGGGCGGTGCAGCCTTCTTGTGGGGATTGTTTAGGACGGTTGAAATGGCTAACAACTTTATTTAACCAGTTGCACACTAAAGCAGTGGTATATCCATTGTGAACATACCATGAAAGCCATGTATTGAACTGCTCCAATCTGAAGGCACTGCGCCTAACGGAAGGCTAGTCGCTGACGAGGTGTGCAGTTCATACGAAGCGGTCTGTCCAAAATAGTCTCCGCGCCCTTCTGTTGTCTCCGAGATGCTCCCTGGTCCTGGTCTGCGGTTGGCAGCGTCCCAAGTGAATCGGTAAGGACGAGCAGTGGTGATATTGGGTAGGTCGGCCACTGGAGAAGCTGGTCGAGACGAGGTGGATGCGTAGTCCGACATGTGCAGATATATATCGTGTGCAATGTCCTGGACACAGATTACAATCGTTGGAACATTCAGGTGAGAATATTCGTCTGCGAGCGAGCGTTGGTGGTAGCTTAAGTATAGTATCTACAACTTAGAAGGTTCGCTCGCGGCGAGAGCGCGCTAACTACACTTGTAAGCGATAATTTATCTTTTCTTGATCAAAAATAAGACCTCGATGAAAGGACCTTTGTGAGTGCGGGAAACTGCAAACAGGCTTGACCCAGCAAAAACCAGGAGGAAAAAATAGGCGCTACCAGGGTTCGAACCTGGGTTCCGGGAAGATTTCAAACATGTCAAAATCCCGAGTGATAACCACTACACTATAGTGCCATATGATAGTATTACTTACTATATAAATATATTAATTGAGGCACACTTTCCAAGGCACATGATTGGTTTAAACGTCTACAACCAAAATGAATTTCACCGTACATATTCTAGGAGGTTGGGTGAGTAATTTCCCTTCAATTGGGTATTGAGCTTCGTGGACACTGACTATAACGGCTTCTAGGCGATTGAAATAATTTCTACGGTTGAGCCCAATCACCACAACGTTACGATTGTCTTCATCGACGTACGACCTGATATACGAGACAGTCCAGAAGAAGAGCGTCTGTCACGAGTAAGGCCACCCCCTCTCGTCTCCATTTCCTGGGCGGACAGGTTCGCGAGTTGTTCGATCTTGACGACTCGAATTCTGAGAATTCTTTGAACTCCGAGTCGCAAGAAATCGAATATAAGATTACTGCTCTTCCGGCTCAGCGCAACAAGGGAATCACTTCGATCGTAAGTTCAGTTGCCGCTGCAAACAGTCTTGTGGGTGACTAACGATATGATGACTCTACAGATACATCGGCAATGCTGTCGTATTTGATCACGGAAAGTATAGTTTCATGGGAGGGCCGGCCGCGATGTAGTATGCTTGGCGTAGTGTATACGAGCGAGCGCAAGTCAGCAGAAGTCAGCTCGCGAACCAGGGCGTTGCTCCGAGTCGTGATTGATTGGACAGTCCGGTGCGTGATCATTCTCTGGTATCAAATGCAGACCTCTAGACGAATAACTCACGATATTACAGTGGTCGAATATACCGCGTATCGGAGTGGCCAAGTGCGATAAGTTGAACTTATTGGTTACGATCGGACGGATGGTCCGGTACGTAACAACCAATTTCCACATTTATGACAAATTGCAGACCACTATTGTTGCTTGTGGCCTGGGCCATATGTCATTGTGCGTGGCCACATTAATTTGTTCGTGTCGAGCGCTCATATGGAGTATATAAACAGACACCGGTGCCATTGTTTTCTTCCAATACCATCGCCACACTCTCAAAGCAGAAATCATGCCACCGGATCTCCCTCTCGACATTGTGCCGCTCATCCTGCAGCATCTATGCAGGAAACCCCTCATCAAGGAATGGCGTCCATTTCATCAAGCGGAAGACCCGTTCTCTCCAGACGACCTGCCGGATGAAGGACAATTATGGGATGAATACGACGTGTCCTGGAAATACGACCTATTTTCCTTCTCATTATGCTCCCACGCGATGCGACGAGTTGCGCTGCCATTTATATTTGAACGCATGGACTACCGCTTTATGAACATTTGGCACAACTATCCGGTCACCTTGAAAATCGCGGATGAACAAGACCCATCCATTATATCGACGCCAGCTCGCCCTAAGGGACCTGAATCGTCTGTACTACAGGATCTGTACGAGTTTATGGCTATCACACCGCATATAGCCGGGGTTGTCAAGAACCTGCGACTCCAATACGCCGCTGAGCCTTGTTACGAAGACACTCCCGGCCAAGAGCGAGAGATAAAAAGCTATCATATTGATATTCGGGACCTAGGGAAATTGCTTGATCTGTTCGGATGTCTCAGATCACTGGAGCTGCTGGGTGTACCTATCGATGTGCCTCAATCCTACCACATCTTGGAGACCAGGGGACGAGCTATTGATAGGTTGAGTTTCAATTCTTCCCATGAATGCACCTATCCTCCAACCATATCCTTTCAACCATATCTCGCGCCGCTGCTCCTCTTCGACAGGATCAAGAAGCTTGTATTGGACTATTCGTTTGAGGAGGACTTTTATAAGCAACCCGATAGGCCTGTATATTTCCCATTTCCTGGAGAGTCACTGGTAGTAATGTGTAGTCCCGGACTCGTGGGGCCTGTCCTCGAACGCTTGGCAGAGACCGATGCTTCCCGCACAGAGACGCACCTCAAATCTCTGAAAGTGTGTGAGTTGACCCATTCCAATTTGCGCCCCCTCAACAAGCTCTTGAGTCGCTTTGGCGCAAGTCTCGTAGAATTGGATCTCGAGTGGGTTTATCAATATGGATGTAAGTTACATGCTTTCTAGTTGCTGCTGCGTACTCAGGACCGTCATTAGCTCAAATCCTTGCTCCGGATGACAATTTTAAGCTGCTCTCACACTGCAAAAGTCTACGCGTACTCTCCATAGACATGTGTCAGGTGACTGGCGACATACCTCAAGAACAGTACAACCACGTTGTAAATGGACTAAAATGCCTACTATCGTCCTGCGGTGCCAAGTCTATAGACCTTATGTTGGAGATTCCTTGGGAGATGCTGATTGCCATCCAAGACGTGTTGCTTGAATTGGAGGAAAGAGGCGTTCTCCGGTCGGTCTACTTTCTTCATTTGGAGGCACGCAAAGCTTGGTCGCAAGGAAGGCGTCGCTTGCAGTTGGATAGGACCGCAAAGACGCTCGCTACTGTCAGTCGTCTTGCCCCGCTTTGGGAGAGCAGATTGTTGAAAAATCAGGGGATAGGAAGGATGCTACTAGGAGATCATGCGTAGCTACTAGTAGTGGCACTACGAGATGGTGAACGGACCTGGTAATCAGACTTGAATAGCATTTCAATCACCTATGTTTCGTTACGTAGCGTGGTAAGCTGACGACCATGGTTATTATGTTCGTCCAGAAGGTCTCTGGGCGAACATTTTGCCCTTGGACGATGACAAGTGTCCCGGGGGATACATGATATCCGTGGGTACAGTGGAACCGCAAAGAAAAATTGAGCAAGTCAAGATGCACCTTCCATTCACGGCGGACACGTAGTCTCCATATGTGAAAAGTGACAATCAAATTTTTCTTATAATGGTACATTGGTACAAATATATGTACAGTGTGGGAGGGTGCGCATAAAACGTTCGAGATACAAGAGGAAACATACTAATATTCCGCTACAACTTCCTCTGAAGTGCTGCTACCAGCCCCCCGAATTGCGTCCGAGTCCGCTTCTTCCACAGGACCATGGTCAAGATCGGCTCCCATGTTCCCAATAATGCTCGCCAACGTAGGAAAGCGGAATCCTGGCACCGAGAAACCTGAGTCGTTGTTATGATCATTCGTATCGTGGTCTAATCTATCGATTCCGCGTAGATTGAGCAGAAAACGAGAAATCAGGATAGGTTGCAATCTGTCGTGTGGTTGGGCTGAAGCTCAGGCTCTGCGATTTTGCTGCTGTACATAACTACTCACACTGAGCCTATGATGTCAACGGGAGAGACGATTTGCAGAGCTGGCTATCAGCAGTGTATCAAAAATCAGGACGTACTCAATACTACGGGCCCTGCACTTACCACGATGCTTGTCAGCACCTGCGCGATATTCATGATGAGAAGGACACTGCTCGCGATGTGATATTGAGTATCATGCTGGCTTCTTCATGACCGAGTAACTCACATAAAATAGACTGTCCCTGTATTAAATATATCGATAAGTTTGCATATTAGTAGCTTGTCAAAAGAAATGATGTACCGTCTCGGAGGAGCAAGCTACTGAGTGGGGTTTGCATACCAATCCTCGCAGCATATAAACGGTGTTTGAAGGTTTTTCGCCATGTGACGGCCAACACAAGTATACCACCAAGGACGAAAGCGATGCAGAGTCCTATTGAGTCTGTACCAAATCTCAGTAACAAGAATTTGATAGTCATTTTGTAAGTTTCTTACTGCTGATTGGTAGGACAAAAGCTTAGCTCCTCAATATTATCGTAATGTGGACATGAGTAACTCACTAAAGAAAGGCCTTGACAGACATATCAATAACATCGCTGCAGTATTCGCCCAGAAATGGATCTACAACGAAAAGAATTGTTTCCCGAGAAAACCTCACAATATTATCCGGGACTGGTGCTAGTCCCAACAGTAGGACAATAATTGTTAAAGGAATATTGTGATCGGATAGGGCAAATACGCGCAATGCAGAAAACACTATCGTTGCCGTCATCAGGACTGGGATATTTCAAGTGCACCCTCATCACGTACCGGAATATACAACGTTCTGGGCAAGGTACAATATATCACCGAATATAATTGCGCTAGGACAGCTGCAGCACAATCATGATGAGTCTCAGCACCACGATACAAGAAACACAGCAAAAGTTTACTGTTCACCTCTATTTGCATAGTGATTAATCCAGCGAAGCAGCATCGAAGCTAGATCATGATGAATCTCACCTTAGACGTGGTAGGTATCACAGCGAGTAGCATGTTTCCAATGAGCAAATAGCGATTTGCCATAAATATCCACGTGGTAAGGATCCATTTCCGTCTCCAAACCATATTCACTTCTTGCTTGATGGTGATGACATATTCGTAGGCAGTCAAAGCTACAGTGATAGTACATAAGCGGAGAAGTACTAATGCCACAAGGAATATTCTTACCTGTCGTGCCAAAAATCAAGTAATCGGCATTGACCCTGTAAGATTGTCACAGTTTAGAGGGATCATGAATGTATCATGGATTCCCATCACATTTCGCGTACTCAGCTTGCAAAGCAGCGACAAGGCTGGAATCGGATAGAGCTTGGGACATAGCGGCAGAGTACGTGTCAGAGGGGGTTACTAGAGGAGTATCCGGAATGCTTTCCGAAGACTCTTCAAATTCATTTTATATGTCTATCTTCTCAACTGTCTTCTCGGGAGGCGGGACATCTGTATGCCTAGGTTCAAATTTGAATCAGCTAACAGCTTCGATGTTGAGATATGTCAGTCTTCGTGTGAAATCTGGGTGGCAACATAGTAAAACGACCAATGGCTGAATCCCAATGGCTACAACTTACTGATTTGATAGAAACAGATACTCTGACAGATAATCGTTGTGATCTCTGATGAGTCAACATGATGATGATTGATACTGATACACTGTTTCATTCAAAATTCAGATAAGAGGATGGACCTCGTTTAGACGAAGTAACGGCGAGTAGAATGTGTAACTTTGGGTCATGAGACGCACGTAATAACTTGAAAGAGGTCCATGACCCCTTATTTGACTTGTTTATAACGCACAT